CGGGTTGGTTGCCACCCCTTTATAACAATGTTTTTTCGAAGTTTTGAAAGACTATTTACCCTAAGAGACTGAAACTTTCAATAGCCGTTCATTTATCCTCTGCAGAGATTTTGATGTGCCAAATGTTTGTCCATGGTTATTGACATTGCCATGGCAACCGCAAAATTTCATGTAAGTCTGGCCAAAAAATAAACGTTTTTTGCATAATTATTTTCTTCATCAAATTGCAGAAATTGATGAATGTTTACATTCCTGAAGCATTCTGACTTGATGTTGTGTTAATTTCCGTTATTTCTTGACTTTGTAACAAAATAGGAAAATCCAAGATGGCGGCTCAAATGACGTCATTTGACGTCATATAATGCTCTAACCAACAAAAATTGTGTAATCTTTAAGAGCAAGCTCAGGGCTATCTACTCAGTGTAAAGTTATTTTTCCATGCCTTAGTAAAATGAAAACCCAGGGAGGGGTTTCATCCCCCCAACCCCTGTTGTACCATGGTGGGGCGATGAGTTACATGCAGCTTGTACATCCAAGGGTTAATTTCACAACCGCTTGTTAATAGCTTGTGTATAAAAGTGGGATGTTCAATCATGTTTTCATATCTTTATACGCAGAACTTTCAAATATATGATCTTTCATATATTCACTTCTACCGTTAACTCTAAAATCATTGCACATTAGCAATATACTGCAGGAGCACAAGGCAAATTGGCTGGCTGTGAGGATGTTTTTGCCTCCCTCGTTTGACCATCCAGAGGAAAGCTTTTTAAAGAAGTTCAGTTCAAAATGTTTTGTTTGCCTATGAATCCTGCTGGAGATGTTAAAGAAACCCCTCGTAATAATTATTGTAAGCAAAAGACAATTAATAATATAATACTTTATTACCTTTAATGAACAAAATAATGTTGCTCATTATACCGAATACCTTATAGCACATATCAAATCAAGGCTGCAAGACAAACATGTACATATGTCCATGTTTATAATCCATCAAATTTTTTTCGCACGTGCGTGATTGCTCTAAACATGTCGCGTGACTGAATATTCCCCTGCTAAATTGTACAATATCCGAGGATATTCCCCAATTTTCAGAACCACCCGTGTTGCAAAAAATATTTGAAGGATAATAAACACAATAGTCTGCATTTGGCGCAAAAATATGCTCGGATATTTGTCCTTGGACATTATCTGCTCCTCGAATCTCACAGTTTTCGGAACAGATGATGTCAGCGGACAAATATTTGAGCATATTTCCACGCCAAATGGAGGCTATTGTTAATTTATATATATTGCCAAACTTGTCTTCTTTTTTCTATCAGTACTTTAAGGATCACTCAAGAACCAAGATTGCTCTGAATACAAAGACATATCCGGAATATACAATAATTTTCTATTATTGCAATTAAAGGTGCGTAGTGTTGTTCCATGAATGTCTATAGCCACCTACTCTTACTTTTCTAAGACTACAATAATTATTGAACATCTCATCTATGCTCAATGTGTTATGGACATTTTTTGATTTACACAATGTGTAGCTTTTCAAATTGATATGCATTTAAACTAGCAAGCAACATTAACAATCTATAGTTGTTTGTAAGTGGGCAAATTGCTGAAAATTAATGTTGTGTTGTTTAATGATAGTCTGAAGTATTTGCACGAATTCTTGCAATTTATTACTCAGTCAAACACTTGTTCACTTGATCTGGACACTCCAATTTCACTGTCCATTCATAATGGCCTTTAGACTGTATATTGATTCAAACTTATTTTTGCATGGCGTTGTAAGGGATGTCAATCTCACTTGAAAGTGATTCAAAACTCAGCAGAAATATTATTTTTAAGTGGTTGATGTCTTCATTTTGTAACTTCCTTCTAAGTATATCCTGGTTATAACACAGATGGTGCATGTGAGAGACTTGATGGAAAATAGGATTATCAATAATTATGACACTGTAACAGGTTAAATACAAAGAGTTTTCTTTCTAAGTTTATTGTTTAAATTTGTTTTACTGCATAGTTGATAATTTTGTTCTGTTGGTTGCTATTTAGGAACACCCCCAAGATCAATTGATAAAAATGGCAAAAGCTGCAAAGAACACTACTGGTGGCAATTCAAATGATGGCAGTGATGTCCCCCTTGTCCCCCCTGAGCTTAGTTTCAGCCTTCTATCGATAGGGGATGTTCAAGCACCAATTAAGGATCGAAATGACCTGAATCTCCCTGTTGAAATTCTCTTGGTGACTGTCACGAACTGTGAGTTCATAGCTTGTTATATGCAGTTAGAAGATCCATTGCAATGCTACTTTCATGGTATTGGTTATGTTTACTTTGGACATGAGGGTACACGACAAGAGAAGAAAGTGAATATTGCTTTGATTAGATGTGACAAAGGTTCAGCTGGTCCTGGCAGCTCTCTGATTACTGTGAAAAATGCCGTCACTGTACTCGGACCCAAGGGTGTGATTTCTGTGGGAACCTGCAGTGGTCTGAACCCAGAGAAAACGAAGTTAGGAGATGT